TGCTGCCCCACGGGAAAAGCAAGAAATGGGGAGGGGGGGATTCAGTGCCAGAAGGAAAAGCACGTGGGAGGGGGCTGCCTTGACACCGGGGGCACATTGACAATTGTACTGGAAAATAATCCAGAAAAAAAATTGCTTCGGGTCAAACCAGCCCATGGTGTTTGCTCTGAAATGCAAATATTTGGGATTTCCTTTTTTTTTTTTTTTTTTTTCCAAGCTAAGCCTTTGTAAAAGCCTTCCCATAGATGTGTGTATAGATATGAAGCTCTGCTTTTATGCTTATATAAAAATGATGTTCATTTTCAACCATTGGCATGTCCAGAAAGAAAAAAAATCAGAATTTCACTTGGGAAACGTCCGGACAAAAGGCTTTGAGCCCCTGGAGCCGCCTGCCCGCAGATCCCAGCCCGGATCCCCTCTGCCCCCCAGCCTCCCCGGGGTGGGGGGGGGTCACTCTTCATTTTAAAAACCAGTAACCCCCCAATTTGCCCATCTCTCTTCCCAAATCGGAAATAGCTCCGGCGGTATCCGCTGGGCTCTTCCAGAAAGGATTGTTGGATATTTCTGTGTGAGCTGCGGGATGTCTGATGTTGGTGAGCACATTAAACAGGGGCATAAATTCGTAATGAGAGCCCTGAAAGGAACGGTTCTTATCATTTATGGATGGAATAATTAACGATACTGTACTCGGAGGTTTTACACGGGGCTGTGAATTGTCAGCCGTGGAAGGAGGGGAATAAGTAGGATGGAAACAGCTTCAATTCGGACGGCTGAAGGCACCCAGAGCCACGGGACCCTGGGGGATGCCACCGCCGGTGATGCTGCGGGGATGTCCCCTCTCCACCTGTGGTCTCCTTCCCGGCTCCTGGACACAGCGAGCCCACACTGGTGGGAATTTGGAGATTTGAGATTTTTCGATGACTTTCCTGCCCTTGGAAACCACCCACTGGCGCGGCACAGGGTCGGGTGATGCTCTGCTCCGAGCATCCTGGGGTTTTTTGGGGGGTTTCCTCGCTGGTCCCCCCCCAGGTCCACGCACAGCCCAGCTGGGCCGTTCCGCGGTGCCCGGGGCTGGGGGTGTCTCACCGTGGGGTGGTGGGTGCACCCTGGGACCCCCAGGGCGCTGAGCCACTTCTCCCAGCACCACGTCTTCGTCCTATTTTAACCGGGATCATCTAAAATACTGTAACTATGGCAACGGCTGCAGGTGAGACTCATTACAGTTAATCCTCTAATTACTAACTACCTCTTCAATCAGTTGTAATTACTTTGGGGACACAGTTAACCTCTCATTAGGAACGCATGGCCACGTTTTACCAAAAGCACAAACAGTGACTTGCCTGGTAATTTAGCACCGCGGCACTCGGGGCCACTCGCCGGCTTCTCTGCCGGCACCATCTCGTCCCTGTCATTAGCCAGGAATGGTTGTCATGACAATTAATCATTCAATCTCTCATCAGCAACTTTTGCCAAATGTCACCCTGCTCTTGATCAAATGAGAAGGGAAAATTAAATGAATCAATTCAGCACCCTGGCGTTTGTCCCTGTATTTTTTTTTTTAGGGGGGGCGTGTTGGTGGGTAAGTTGGAGGTCACCTGCCCCACTCTGCCCTCACTCTGGGGGTCCGGGGTGCCCATCCCAGGGAGCATCCCCCAGAGCTGGGGGTCACTCTGAGCCCCTCGGGGGTCCCTGACGTGACAGCCCAGCCCCTGGGGCCATGGGGCCCCCGGCAGCCCCAGGTCACCGCTGCACCCTGCCGCAGCCGCCCAGATGTGCCACCTCCAGATGTGCTGTCCCCAGATGTGCGATGGTGATGGCTCGGAGCTGGGTTGAGGCTGGTGACCTCCAGAGCAGAGCAGAGTGCCCACTACTCCACCGTGACCCAATTTTGCAAACAATCTTCTCTCCCATCATTTCCCTGATAAACCTGTAATTAGCTGGAGTCGTTTGCTGCATGCAGGTCCCAGCCCTTAGTTGCCGGTGCTAACCCTGTGCAGCTCGGGGGCTTCCAGCAGCCCCCGCCTCATGGCCACACTGGACCCCCAGCAGCCCACAGCTGGGGGTCTTGATGTTGGGGTCTCAGCACCGTCAGCCGGTGATGGGCTCTGCACCATCCTGCCCACCCCAGGGAATGGCTGTGGAGCCCCGTGGTGGGGCACAACCCCCTAAAATATCCTGCCCTGATGGGGAACTGCTCCCCTTGGGGGTCCAGTTATAATTTCTGGGGGTGATCCAGGCCAGCCCCCCATGGGGACGGTGGGGGGGGGGTTTGCCCGGCTGCACGGGGTGACTGGGCAGGGCTGGAGCCGTCCCCCACCATCGCCGGGGAAGGGGGAAGTTTCGCTGCGACTCAATTATAGGAGATTGTAAAATCGCATTAGGGAAGTTGGCATTTAAAGCTTGATGCGTTTGGACAGTGTGTCTCTCCCCGGCTCGGGGAAATCGATTATCCGTCAGAGGGACGGGCGGGCTGGGGCGTGCTGCTCGCACCGCGCACACCGTGAACACCATGCACACCGTGAACACCGTGCACACTGCATACACCGTGCAAACCATGCACACCGTGCACACCGTGAACACCGTGCACACTGCATACACCGTGCAAACCACGCACACCATGCACACCGTGCACACCGTGCACACTGCATACACCGTGCACACCCCACACACCATGCACACCGTGCACACCGCATACACCGTGCACACCCCGCACACCCCACACACCATGCACACTGCATACACCGTGCACACCCCGCACACCATGCACACCGTGCACACCGTGCACACTGCATACACCGTGCACACCCCACACACACTGCACACCATGCACACCGTGCACACTGCATACACCGTGCAAACCCCGCACACCACGCACACCGTGCACACTGCATACACTGTGCACACTGCATACACCGTGCAAACCCCGCACACCACGCACACCGTGCACACTGCATACACTGTGCACACTGCATACACCGTGCAAACCACACACATAGCGCACACCACACACACCGTGCACACTGCACACACTGTGCACACCACGCACACCGTGCACACTGCATGCACCATGCAAACCATGCACACCGCTTGCACCATGCATGCTGCCTACACCTAGTGCATCCCACCAGCAGCCGGGACCGGGTGGCCCCAGGGACCCCCATCTGGGGCAGGAGCTGGGGCCAGAGCTGGGGACACCCCATGTCCCCCCTTTCTCCCATCCCCTGGAGGCCCACCGTGGGACAGCTGGGGATGCACGGCTCTGGGGGATGGGATTGTCATTGTGTTGGGGGCCCCTCCAATGGGCCAAATTTGCCCCAGGCACAGGAAGAGCACCAGGCTCCTCCGGCACCGCTCCAGGCACTGTTGGTGACGCTGGGTGCTGGCGTCACCCTTCCCATCCTGGCTGCCCGGCGAGCCCCTGATTAATTCCCCGAAACCTGCAGTGTGCAAATGAGTAATAATCGCGGCAAACGCTAATTGGTGAGCTGCGTCCTGACAAATTGGTTTGCTGGTGTGAGGGTGCAGCAGGGCTGTGTTAACATCGCGTGCCCGGCCAGCTCCGTGCCGGCCGTGCAGGGGGGTCACCCTGGCTGCC